TTTTTCTGTGTGGAAATCCCTTCGGATACCACCTACCGGCGGTATGGCTGTGTCGGACTCGAACCGATCAAAAACCACACGCCGTCTCAGGTACTAGTAGCCGGGTAACCAGGTGTACCCTAGAGAAGAAATCTCTGGTACCCCAACGTGCCGCTTTTTCCCTATATAAATAATTAAATCCTGACGCAATAGATAATGTATAAAGCCTAAAACATTTCTTAATAAATGATCTATGTTTCGAAATACTTTTTGATAAAACTGGTAATCATTACAATGAGATTAGATTGATAAGATGAGGTAAGATTAGAAAAATCTGGTAGGTTTTATTAATTTAGAAAAGTGTAATTCCTTAGGTAGAGTATATACAATCTCCGAACATGGTAACCGTAAAATAACCGGGGACTTTTTGTTTTTGTTTTTAGTATTAATTTATTTTTAGAACTTTTTTTACTTTTTAAACCCACAAACAGAAAATTATTTTTAAACTTTAGAATCATAGCGTTTTATAAACATATATAATAATATATATATATATATATATATATATATATATATATATATATATATATATATATATATATATATTATAGATGTTTATTATTACAATCAATTGTAATGTTGAAACCATTGGTGTATCTAAAATATTAAATGCAAGATATTTATTAAGATTTAAACAGAGCATGTCTATAAACGTAACGAAAACGAAATGTAAATTATGTTTTTTTTGTATAACGCTTGTTTAAGAAGTTAAATTAAGTTGACTGTAGTTTTCTTTAGATATTCTGCCACAACTTTATCTGTGGCCTGCAGCTGTGACCTCTCTGGTCCAAGTCAATTTATATTTTTTATAATCATGTTTTATTGAAAATTGCGACACTATATAGAAAAGGCTAAACTTTAAATAGAAAAATAAATAAAATAGCCTCAGAATAAATGTGTGATTAAACGGGGCTTGCTGGGTTAAGTCTTTGTATGAAGTTTATTGGGATGAATACGGAACAGCCCACGTAAAAGTGTAGTTTTACTTACATATATGTGTTTTAGTATTTGTTATGATCACATTATCACATTCTCCTAAACTTTATAGAATTAATATAGATCAGAATAACAAGTTCACGGACTTGTTTACGCTAGAGTAAACATAACTACCTATTCTATTTATTTCTAAAGTAAATATATTTTATAGTATATTATATTTATCTTTAAATTGTACCTTTATATTATACCTTTAAATTATATCTTTAAATTGTAAAAAAGTACTGTTTACTGTTTTTGTAAACTGTTCAAACACGAGTATGATTGTTAATCTTTCGTGTGTTACAACGTGACGTGATTGCGATGCGGTAGACTTTCATTATAAATTTTATTTGCCAATTTTTTGCGTAAAATCTACTTTAATGCAAATATACATATATAGCTATGTCTAAGCCTTTTTTTTTTTTTTTTTTTTTTTTCCGTGCGGAAATCCCCTCGGATACCACCTGTCGGTGGCATGTCGGACACGAACCGACTAAAACCGCACGCCTTCGCCGGGTACTAATAGCCGGGGAACCAGGTATACCCTAGAAAGGAAGGCCCTGGTGCCCCGACATACCTCGGGTCATCTACAGACGAGTAGACGACCCCCGCCCCGTGTGGGAACCCCATGTTCCCTGTGCTCCCTGGAAGCGAGCGCGCTTCGCAACGCGCTCGCCGCCACCCCGGCCTGCTTCTGCTAGGGTGACAGATGGCCTCACCTGTCACCCCCAGGCCTGCGCTTATGGAGGACGGAGGTCGTTCTGCGACCTCCGGCGCCTGAGTCGCCTGCGCTGCCTGGCCCGTGCCCGGGCCTGGCGGGCCGGGAGAGTTCTAAACCTCTCCCGGTCCCGCTCCGCCGTCTCCTTCGCGAGCATAACTTGCTCGCAGAAGGAGACGGCAGAGTTCCACGCACTCTCGCTCCGCACGATAGCCGCAATCAGGCTATCGAGCGAGAGAACTCCCACTCCGATGGCCGCCACGAGGTCTCGCCTCTGCTCAACCCACGCCGGGCACTCTGCCAGCGTGTGGAGAGCCGTGTCCACGGTCTGGCCATCGCAGTGGTGGCACTCAGGCGTTGGCTCCTTGCGGATCAGACACAGGTGATCTCCGAAACATCCCTTCCCAGTGATCACCTGCGTCAATCGGTATGAGAGGGTCCCGTGACGCCTCTCGAGCCAATCCTCCATAACGGGTCTTACCGCCGCAATGACGGCGTGCCCGGCGCTCGGTTGCCCGAGTCGTTCCCTCCACTCCCCTATGATGACCTGGCGGAGTTGGGATTTCCGGTCCTCGATTTCTCGAGTCTCGGGGCATCGACCCAACTCCTGCGCCTCCTTGCGCCACTGATACAGTGCCGCAAGGGCTCTCGCCTCCAGGTCCCACGGTGGAGTTCCGGCCAGGAGACTCGCCGCCTCAAAGGAGATCGTGCGGTACCCCCTTATGATCCTGATGGCCAGCATTCGCTGCGGTCGTCGCAGTATCGCGACGTTGTTGGCCTTCAGGGCCCCCGCCCATACTGGGCACCCGTAAAGGGCCATGGACCGCACAACCCCCGAGTAGAGTCTCCTGCAGGAGTCATCGGGTCCCTTCATGTTGGGCAGCAGCCGCGCCAACGCACGCGCTGCCCCAACCAACTTGGGGACCAGACCTCGGAAATGATATCCGAAGTCCCATCGGCCATCGAGTACGAGCCCCAGATACCTGATCGAGGGCTCGATGCCGATGCGAGTGCCTCCTACCGTGAGGCTAGATCCCTCAGGCGGCTTCCTCCGAAGCCCGTGGAAGAACAGGGCCTCGGACTTGTGCAGAGCCACCTCGAGACCCAGCCGCCGGATACGCTCAACGACTTGGGCAACCCCGGCCGTGGCCCTCAGGGTTGCCTCGTGGTGCGTCTTGCCGCGCGCCGTCACGAGTGTGTCGTCCGCGTAGCACACGACGGCGACACCATCCAAGAAGGTACCACGAAGCACCCAGTCGTAGCCGATGTTCCACAAGAGTGGCCCTAACACCGACCCCTGCGGAACACCGCACGACATTTCACGCCTACCGAGACCGGTCCTACTGGGGTAGACGACGGCTCTCTCCGACAAATATGCCCCGACTATGCGGCGGAGGTAGAGAGGCACTTCGTGATACACGAGCGCCTCCCTGATGCAGCTCCAGGGCATAGTGTTGAACGCGTTGGCGATGTCCAAGGACACCGCCAACACCACTTCGCCCCGGGAGACTGCTTCCTCCGCCAGAGCCTTCACGCGCATGATCGCATCCACGGTGGAGCGCCCTGACGGAAACCGTACTGATTGTCCGCCAGATCCGGCCCAACCATCACGAGATGCTTGACGAGGCGCCTTGCAATCACTCTTTCAAAGAGCTTGCACACCTCGTCAAGCAACACTATGGGCCGGTAGGGCGGACGGTGAGTCCGCCGGGCGCCCCTCCTTTCGGATGAGGACCAGTTTCCCCGTCCTCCACAATTTCGGAAACTGGCCCCGCTCGAGGCATGCGCTGAAGAACCCTCGCAGTCGGGGCTCGAGAGCCTCGTCGACTAAGGCCAGGACCCACGCTCGGCCAGGAATGCCATCGGGTCCCGGGGCGGTGTTTTTGGCTTTAAGCCGTAACACCGCCACCCTTAGTTCCACCCCAGTGACCTCAGGCACGTCGTCATCATCCACGTTAGGCGCCTCAAGCGCCGGAGGCGGAGCCATCTGTGGCGGAGTATGCTCCACCACTCGCGTTGGGAACAGGGAGCCAACGACCCTCTCAAGCAGCTCTGGCTGAAGACACCGTGTGAGCTATGTCTAAGCCTACCTTTCACAAAATCTATTATGAAGTCGGGATGTACGCTTTTTACCAACTCAATCTGATTGATTTTATTGTTACTAATGCAGAATCCTTTCTTCGTGTATTTCATTTGTTTTTTTTTAGTTAGTCAAGATAATATTCATATTATAGAATCAGTTATAGCTGAGTGGTTTAGCTATTGACATCTGACGACTCCGGGTTATGTTTGATCTGGTGTACTTACTGGGAGTGAAGGAAAACGTCAATAGAAAACCAACCCACCTGAGTTAGTTATAATGTTCATAATTGTTTAAAAATCTTCTAACATAGAGAGAGTAAAATAAACGTCGTCTAAAAAGATTAAGTAACTTTAACGTTGATTCTAAGATCTTATTAATAAAATTTTATATGCGTGTGTTTACAACTACTAGACTATAATCTGGTAATATCAACAATCGGTAACATCAAACATTTTTTCTTCAAACTTTCTCGAAGTTTCTACCTCGACACTCAACTCAACTCTTAGAAAACTGGATGATGCTTCCGACACACTTATCGTCAGACGTGGGACATTCGCAATAGGAAACGACAATTTTAGATCAATTAAAAGCAGCGTGGAAAAGCGGAAGCTATTTAGCTATTAGAGAAGAAATCGATTCAAAATTTAAGTGTAACATAACTAGTCCGACACTGTTAGGCAACTAGACTGAATATGTTTTATTCGTTTATATTATATGTATAATAATTTGATAATGACCGCGAAAACTACTCGTTGTTTTTATGGTTTTAAGTTAAAAATATGTGGTTTTGCCAACTTCAGTTAGCTCAGAAATTAGTGTGTATGTTTTCTAACGCTTGCATTACACAACGTCTTTACAATGACAATTGTTGTAGGACAAAGCCTTTGGACCGACACTCAGCAACGTCCGTTCATAATTTTGAATAGCAATTAGAACTGTCAATTGTTTTTAAACATTTTGTACTCGTGCAAACCATTGCCAATAACGATCACCCATGAAGGTTCAATACCGAATAATTGATATTTTTTAATAATAGAAATAATTTAAATACGTGCTCGCATGTAATACTTTCGAATACGTTTAGTTGTTATGACCTCTAAAATCAGTACGTGTAGAACGAGGTAGCAATGGACATAAAAACGGTTAGAGCAACATAAGAAAAATGAGACAATGAAGAAATACCTTTGTCGTGCTCTGTATTTGCAAGAAGGTTGCAATGCCAGCTCGTACGCGGTTCTTCACGCCCCTTATTGTTCCTTTTGAGCTCTTGATCGTTGACGGAATCTCTTCATTTTTATAATCCTTTATGCCTGCAAAGTATTCCGCTTCAGACACTTCACAATCACTCTTAGCACCAACACTAACACTTTGCACATCATCAAATTGTTTTTCATTGAGATGGAAATCGTAAAACTTGTCCGTATCAAAATAATGACTACTATAAAACATTTGCTCTTGTTTTATCTTGTTCTGCTGCTTTCGCTCCTCGTATGTACTCTCATTAATAAGAGGCATTTTAGAACACAAAGTTGCAGGAAGCGATTCCGTCGTATTTTTTGTTTCTCTATGAACCTGAGAAACTAGACGGAATGAAGTGAGCTGTGCGCTTTCTTTTGGAATATTAGCATCCTCATTATTATTCTGGTTCGCTTCCTTGTGTGGCTCGGAGTGCAACTCACTTTCAGTTTCGATTGTATTTAGTTTTACTGAACGGTCTCTTATGTCTTGCAGCAAACCTTGAGGTAGAAAGCTACTGTCTTTATTGTTCACTTTATTATACGTCTCTGGCTCGCTCGGTGATTCCATACTCTGTTTCGTTTCTTTTTTACTATATTCGCTATGACTTTCATCCGCGTGCACACTTATATTCAGTTCGCTGCTATTCAGAGAATCGCACGATATATTTGAATCGTTGTCTTCGAAGTCCACTTCACTTAGACCACTTCCATTTGTTGAGCTGATTAGTGTTACAGAAACAGCTTTCTTTTTTGAACTAGATTTTGTAGTCTTCTTTTTCGGTAAAGGTGGTGGCGTTCCGTCAAGGTCGCTGCAGGTGCCAGAATCTAGTGTATCACTCGGCGAGCACTGACCGCTCGACATTACCATATTCGTCATCGAATTGACGAAGGAGTTACAGTATATGTAAGGTGCTTTATCCGTCTTCAAAGATTCTACGTTCTCGAGAATTTTCGGTCCACTTTCTTCAACATTGATTCTGACGAGGCTGTTATTTTTCTTGCAAATATCTTGAATTTTAAACGGATCGAAGTCAACGTCACTCTTAAGATGTACACTCGATATTTTAGGTGCCTTAGGTTTTTCTGAATCTGTGTTTATTTTGATTGTGACCACATGTGGGCCGTTAAGAGCGTCCGTACTAGGCGTACTCGCTGGTCGTTCTGACGGGGTTGCCGCTACGAATACCGTTGCAGATGGAGTCTTAGAATTAAGGACGAGAGAGTGCATCGAACTTATCGAGTCCATCCGGAGATTGGTGGCGGTGAATCCGTTTGTGTTCATATTATGTTCGTCGTTTGTAATTTGTGTGTAGGTTGTCGATCCTCTCGGCTTTCCTTTCGGAGGTAGAGGAGGGATGTATTCGACACTGGGGCGCGTCGTAATTTCTTCCATCATTGTGACGACTAATAAATTGGCATAATTAACGGTGCTTCTCGTTTGCAATGCTGGTCAGGTCCGTTCAGATAGTGGTAGATATATAAGGCATAATGGTTCCGGTGACCGTTCGTGACTGGGTCAATAATCTGCTCAGTGGCCTGTATTTCTAATCGTTTGTTTACATCTGCAAAAGAAGAAAAAATATATATTAATACAGTAGTCTAATGTAAGTCTCAATAAATATGATACGTGCATGACTATTTGTTTATATTCGTGTATTGCTTATAACACTAATAACCTACATAGCATTTAAAAGTATGTGTCAACACTAAAAGGTCACGTAAACTCGTTCACTTCAACGCAATTGAATTACTCAAAGGTTTTGAAGAATACATACATACGTTACAATACCAGAGATTCAACGCAACTAATCTTACGAAACTTAAGTCAGTTTAAGTGTGAAGTATTTTAAAATTGTTCCTAAAAAGCACGTGCTTTTCTGTGTAAACACATTTCTTTTTTTTGCACAAGACAACTCCAGCACTAGGAATATATTCTTTGTCGCGGGCAACTTTACAAACATACATGAAACGGACACACAGAAAACCCAGACTCAGAACAACTATTTGTGGATCACACAAAGTTTTGACCATTGTAGGGATCGAACCCACAACACACTATGCCACCCGTGCAGTCAGTTAACTATTTGAACGTTTAAACCTACTCGATAAAGCTGACTTTAAAGCAAAGATTTATTAAGGATAGTTATAACTAGAACTCTCATACAAAAGATATTGAACAGGAAGTTAACTATCAGTAAAATCAACACCTGTCGCATCTTCCACTCGAAGCTTCGTTATATTCATAATTATGTAATTCTTGTCTATGTGAAAGTAGCTATTTCTTTTTTATAATCTTTTTTCGAAACGATTGATTTATGATAACTTCGGATTATTATACATTTCTATGTGAAAGATAAAAACCGGTCGAGTGTGATGTAGACTAGCCACCATGATCATTACAATATCGGTGAAGTAACTTAATTAGCTTTCTATTATGATGATGATGATAATCAGCTGTATATATTTATTGGGTGATATGGATATGTATGTATATGATACATATATGTGTATAAATAATATGGTACACAATTTTTGACTTCCTTATGGGTTGCATTTTAGTTAATATAGGTAGGTACATACGATGTTAATAATATTAATATATTATAATAATTACTAATTATTTAATTTAAAAAATATTGATTATGTAAACAGTATTATATAAATAATACATATAAAAATATACCTAAAAATAATTCCTATCTCTGTCTTTTCTATGCTGTATGAGTCCACAGTTGATACGTTGCTAAGTTTCACTAATTATCATGAAAGCAATAAACTATTGAGTATTGAGCACAAGAAACTCCATTAGGTTTTGACTAAACTAAAGGATACTTCTGTATCTCTTAACACTTTAGTTAATTTGGGCTTTTTTCTTTCGGCCTGATTATTATCATGTGAGCATCTTTATTACAAGAATATCTAAAATACAAAACTTCGATAATATATATCTTTAATGTAGATTATGTACCATTAGTTCTGATTAAGATCAATTGTTGTTTTTTTAATGTACGTTCGGGCACAACTCCGTCATATACAGAAAGGGGTTTATTTTAAATGGTACCATTTAAATTTCATATAGATCTCTTCAAAAAAAACACAGCAAATACACCGCCATTGCTGCTAAGTTTTTAGTGCTCTTGATTAGTATTGTTTGAAGTCGGTTCAGTTTTTTTTAAAGGATTTTTAGACACTTATTGAATATACATAATTCAGGCAGATTTTGATCGGTCCGGTTTAATGATTGGCAATATAGACATACAACACGTTATCTATAGAGATATTACAAATCAGATCTGTTCATTTTTAAACTTAATAATGTTTTAAAAGTACTGATAGTTAAGTTATAAAAAAAACGGCTTGAGGGGTGTACAGTCGGAACGAAGTTCCTTACACTTTTCGGTAGACGTTTGCTGTAGTGTCGGCAAAAAGTCTTGTTACATATTTTTCGGTCTTGCACCCATCTGTTCAGAGCGTGTAACTTCGTTCCAAAAACAAAACTAGCAGACGTATTTAAGATAGCCATTGTGTTTCTTGACCTTGGATGAATAAGTCATTGCACTTACCCATCTTAAGTCTACTCACGTATCACGTAGGCATTTAAACACGGAGACGGTAAATCTATATAAGCAGATCAGGCAGAGGATTTGCATGAACAACGCTAGCATCGGTTATAAGGTTTAGCAGTGTCTAGTTTATAAGAAAGCTTGTTCAATATCAAATAAATGAGCGTGGCAGATTTCTGTTCGAATTGGAACCTAGATTAGGAAGGTCTACCCTAAAGAAGGTCTCAGTAGAGTAGAAGTCTTTACTTAGAGCTAGTTTTTAAAAATTGGCTCTAGGGAGGACAGCCGCAAGGTTCAAGGTCCGCGAAATCTTGGAGGTTGAGATATTTTTACCAAAAGATGGTGTCCGTATTTTTGCGGTAAAACGCTAATGAGAAATGATGCTTTAATACCAGCTGTTCCTTGATTCCTTCTATTTTAGGCGCAACACCATAATATGTAAGCATACCGTGTAGTTCTCGGACACACCACCGAAAACACAAGGCCCGAGAGGTTTCACACTCATACAAAAAGAGAATTTCCGTTAAAACCGATAACAGAATAATTAACTTACACATTTTTTCTAATATTATTTTAAAACAAATTTAGACTTAAAAAAAGGATAAGAAAATATAAAGTTACTTGTAATTAAAAAGCTTACTTTAACGTCTGTTGTATATTTATCTTGTAGAGTATAAAAGTTGAAATTGTTATCTACTTCAATCACTATTGTTTCACTTAAGTATAGATTTAACTCATTATCGTTTCATATCATTATCGTCATCAGCATAACCTTATAAATTATAGGTTAATTTATTCCACAAAAATCTCTCAAAATGTAACAGAGAGTAAAAAACATCTTCTTTCTAAAGATAAAGGATATCTTCACAGTCAGAACAAAGTTAACAGCCAAAGCATAATTACGAAAGAATGGTTACGCGGTGTTAGTACAAACAGACTGCAATATTGTTGGTCCTGTGGCTTGAAGATGATTCAATCAACATTAGACCATTACAAAATTGTTGAAACCGTTTGTCAAAGCGTTACTTAAAAAACACTTTCCCTCGTTCAAATATCTATTCGGATTGCGGTTTTCTAATTAATTTTTTATGGTAGATTTGCTGTGGTAGCTTGCAGAATTATGGTTGATACTTGTATTTTTAGAGTGATTTATAGTAAAAAGGAACATACAACTACCTACCTATGGCTATTTTTATTGTATAATAAAAACAAAAATGTTTAATTGTAACCTCTACCGCAATTTTGTCATGACACTAAAATTGCGGTTGAGGATACAATAGTGTCACTCCTTTGACCCATGTAAGCGACTTTCAACTTTGTTAATATATAACTAGTAGTCTAAATCTATGTTTGAAATTATTGTGTATGTAAACAAGATATTTTTTAAGTTCTGGTCTCAATTTAAGGCCATTTTGTATCAATTATGATTCGAGACGATATTGTTGAAATCAATTGTAGCAAATTTCAAGGTTGTAAAAGGTTCTTGTAACAATATGTAGGATACTGTGTGTGTATAATTACATGTTTACAGGAATATTTACTAGAACTAGAAAATGGAATGTGTGGGGTGTCCCCTTCAAGGTAAACCCACGACTTTTGTCATTTGCAGCACGTAGTAAGATTTCATAATAAGCCTTATTATTTATCAGAATATGCGGTACGCGAAAGCAATGACCGTGAGTTGATAATTATACAAGCGTATAAATATCACCCAAAACGTATGCCTATTTTATCACATATTAACTGTACCGCACATAAAACTTTAGAACAACCCATTACTTGAGAAAAAACATAGTTTTTTATTCATTGCACCATCATCGACTTCTAGCCGTTTTCTGAAATTTATTTGGAGACGGCGTACGAGTAATGAGATTCTTCTACCATTCTCCTTTAATACTCGTCAGTTTACCACTTACTCCATTTTTAATCATATCTTCTTTACGCAGTCCATCCATCTTTTCTATGGTCGTCCTCTACTTTTTTATCAGTTAACAAAAAAGGGAAGATCTTTTTATAAACTCAAAAAAAATTTACAGAACGGTTTATATTCGCCTATTTTACAATTTATTTTAATTATTTATTTTAATTTCGACAAAGAAGAAATAAAAGTCATAAAATTAGAATGTTCAGCTCAAAAATTAAAACAATGACAATTATTTTTAAGTACTTTAAATTTTCTGCAAATTTTAATAGTTAGGTATTATAATATTTTGGAAGACATTAAAATTAAATGTGTTGTTTGTATATGTATATTCCCAAGAATCTATCTAACTTATTTTTTAAATTTAATTGCCATTATAACAGGTAGGTATGTTTCTAGCTACATCCATCACTTATTATGCAAGTGATTTTTTGCGCCGTTGTATCAATTTCTGAGGTTCCACAACTCGGACATCTGGTAGTGAAAGTACAAAGTACCATGATTTGTCAACAGTTGATGGTTGGTTATATAACATCGAATTTAATGGAGTTTTGTGCAATAATGACAATGTGATTTGTGGAATTGGTAATATTATTGTTTTTTCATTAGTTTTATTATTTTAATTAACAACCTTATTTTATTAGTTCAAGAACCATGGGTTTTTAATACGCCTTCAAAGATAGAGGCTTAAGTGTATGTATTTATATTTTAACTCTTCTGAACACTCAGTGTATTCTAGAATAAACTCAGGTTTGAGTTAATCTTAACTGGAAGAAAATGCCTATGGCATTTAGTCCTCCTTATGCAATGTATTCGCAGGTAGTATAAATAAATAAATAAATCTTGCCTTTGTATACACTATTTCCTTCACATGTATTGATAAAACAACAAACGTCTGTCGCAATCGTTACGGGTAGTTGGAGCCTTAAAAAGTCCCACAACAGTCGTTTCTACAGAACTTCGATATCGCCTTTTTGGGTTGTGTGCGTAAAAAACGAAGTAGACTTATAGCCGACCCCAAGTTAGTTTGGGAAAAGGCTCGAAGTAAGTATTGAAATGATATTATATTATGTAATCCCAACAATGTGGGTAGACCTTGCACCTACCGACTATTACTTTTTCCAAAATTTAGACAACTTTTTAGTGGGTAAGAAATTCAATTCCCGAGAGGCAGTACAAAATGCCTTTGAAGAGTTTGTTGCCTCCCGTCCAGCTGATTTTTACAAGAACGGCATCAATAAACTGCCAATGCGTTGGCAAAGAAGCGTCGATTGCATGGGTGATTACTTCGAATAACAGAAATAAAAAAAGTTTGAAAAAATAAGTACTTTCACTTATTGCATACAAAACGGCAATTTCATAGGTAAAGACCTAATATAATATAGTTTTGTCAATCTACGAGTGATCTAATAGAATTATGAGTGTATAAAAGTTTCTATGTCCACTTCGATACTACTGAGTTTTAAGCGTTCATCGGCGGTGATAATCGCTTTCCTTCAGGTGACCCATTTGCTGGTTTGTCCCCTATAACTTAAAAAAATACTAGCAATAAACTATAAAACTTTCTATTAATGAATAACAGCACGCGTTCGCAATAACAAGCCCATTAGAATACTATGTATGTACTCGCGTGAACTCAATAAAATTACATTAATAATAAAATGTCCGGTTATAGCGGTAAGAAAATGTAAGAAAAACGTAGAAATTTTTTGATAAATTTTCGCTGATTTTTTGCTAACGGTATCAAATTAGTTTAGTTTAGTTAGTTTCAAAAAGACAATTCTCGCATTAGGAATATATCCTGTGTCGCGGGGGACTTTACTAACATACATGAAACGGACACAAACAACACCCAGACTTTGGATCACATCCCATGTGGGAATTGGACCCACAATACCCAGCGTAGTAGTAAGCGGCATCGCGACCGCTTGATCCGCTACGCCATCTTTTGATTCTTTACTACTGCGCTGGGTATTGTGGATCACATCCCATGTGGGAATTGGACCCACAATACCCAGCGCAGTAGTAAGCGGCATGGCGACCGCTTAAACCGCTACGCCATCCGTTGTGTCAAAACAAATTTGTCAAAACTAGTAAAGTTTTAATCTTATAGTGGGCGCCTGTAAGTGACTGCTACCGCTCATGGGAACCAATAAATCAAGAGACACGAATGTGGCTTTTGAATCATTCGCATGGATAAAGGATAATGATAATAATATTTCGGACATCTGACACACAACGCCATCTAGTTTCAAACTAAGCAGAGCTTGTACTATAAAAGCTATATTGACTGATAACTGAGAACATAGAAAACACCCAAACTCCGAAACAAATATTTGACGACCATACAATCATTTGGTATGACCCGGGAATCGAACCCGAGACTTCAGCACAGCAGTCGTATACGCCACCACTGCACCAACGAGGCATTCGTATCTGAGAAAATTACTTTTGTAAGCAATATATCTAAAGTCGAAATTTGGTAAACCTTATCAATACTACACTAATTGTAAAACAAAAAGGTACTAAGTTGAAGTGACTCTTCAAAACATCCGCTTTCATAGGAAATGTTATGAGCAACTAGATTTCAAACATGAAACAATCAACGTTCAAAGAAACACAAGTTCAATTCCACCGGAACACAATGTGCGTTTCCACGCTCTTATACACGTTTAATTCTAACTGTCAAAGACCATAAAGAAAGTTAACAATAAAAAATAAACACAGCAATTATGACATTGTATGTATTTGCATCATTACGAAGCAAGCATTTCCTCCTTTCATTGACTACTAAAGTGACAGAACTTAGAAACATAAGCATTTACTTTTTATTACATTTAACGACTAGTTGTATCTTACGAACGAAGTTCCCATTTTGAGGACATTCTATATAAAAAAAACTATATGTATATTATAATAAACTTTATTTTTTTAATGATGCCAGTACGAGTAACATTCTATTTTGTAATGTATTAAAGTTTAATACAAACGAAATGATGTTAACTTTAACTTAGCATTGTGTTAATGGTTTTCAATTAGCACTGGTACTCAAAAAGGTGTAATAAGAGAACGATGTTTTAAGAATCTGGAAAATTAGAGTCATCATTTAGATTAGATAGATAGATAGATAGATAACTCTTTATTTGCACACTAAATTACAGAGTTACAAGAAAGGAACACGATCAAATATCGAGTGTACAAAGGGCGGCCTTATTGCTAAATGCAATTTCTTCCAGGCAACCTTAGGATGGATCAAAAGTTGCAGAGAGACAGTAGTAGTTGAATATCTGCATTTGTGAACCTACTATTTGTTTATTATTATCTACTATACATGTTACATATACTACACATATTATATTATCTACAAACATTTACAATTATTATTAGTGTTATTTCTAGAAAATATTTATCTGTTTGGCGTCATGTTGAAGCTTACCGCGGCCATTTGCGCAAGTCCTATTTGAGCCAGCCCTAAAGCCTGCACATATATAGGCTCTTGTACGTTTATAAGGAATATTGTTACTGTTCTTCTAGTCTTGATGTCCATATGCTCCCACGGGACACCGTATACGGCATCTTTTAACTTTTCACTCTGAAATAATGTCGGATTGAGAGATCTTATCTTTTTCAGCCATCACTATAAATTAAAAAGAGGCATATACTGATTACTTGAAGACCCTATGGGGGAACGGGTGTTGGATTCCATAAAACCTAATGCCAGGATCCACCGACCAGACTAGGCGGTTATGGCTGTCGGACCGTGGTTGATATTGAGCGGTTGTGTAATACTCAAATTACAATGACGAAACGAAACCAGAGCTCTTAAGGTCAAAGCTCATTAGAGCCACACGACACCCGACCAATACCACCTCGCCTCATTCTTTGTATGGAGTTCTATGGGTATACGTTCCCGTGGGTATCGATCACGAGTGGACGGCGAGTGGACCACTCAGTGGCCACCCGTTGCCCGCACGCTTGCCTTGCGATGTCCCCGCGCAGGTCCTAAACGGATCGCGCGCTGTCCACGAGTGGTTAAAGGACGATGCATCGGAGAGTGACGAACCCTGACGAACTACTTATCTATTCGTGGACAACGCAATGTCCACTCGTTGACCACGGAACATTTACTGGTTAACAACGCGCCGTCCCCTGGTGTACCATCCGACGTTCACTGGTTGACAACGCGGCGTCCCCCCTAGGACCACCTATTGATACCATGCGATACCATGCGAAGAGGTGGTACTGGTCGGGTGTCGGGTGCGTCTAATGAGCCTTTAGCGACCAACAAGAATTGCAGAAATATTACTATCTGTTACTAAAGACTATAGTAATGATTTATATTAAAAAAAACATTAGTATCCGTAAATGTAAGCTTTATACAGAATTCACATACCATAGTGCCTATGAGTTCAAAAATGGCTGAAGTTTGAACCAACTCTAAAACCAGCATAATAGTAAGTGGCACATACCGCGTCATATTTTCTATGCTCTGAAATAACAATATAAACATATTCAAAGTCTTGAACCACAAACTGAAAGAATAAACCTTATTAACGCATATTTAACTAACCATTTGTGAACACCCCAGTAACAATAAACACAGATTCACTTGGTGGTAGGAGTAATAAATAAATAGGGGTGGGCCAAAGGCTTCTGATACTTCGTTAGTAAATCTGCAAATATTTAAAATATTTTGCTAAAAGTATAGAAGTTAGAATAAGTAAGAAAGGTTGCAGAGGGAAGATGTACATAAATGCTTGTAAAAGGATTTTGAAATTCAATGAAAAATAATGTCATGTTTTAATAATTAACAGCGATATGATAAAGCATTGTGGTAGTTCTTAGATTTCGAAGTCCATAAGGTATTTCTTTTTTGTAAAATACTACGTGTTCAAAAAATTCTGAGGCAAGAATTAGTTTAAAAGATTTCTAAAAGTTTAGAAAATAATCAGGGCGAGACAGTTTCGACAATGAAAGCATTATTTGATATAGTTTTTAATTGGAACATTGGAATTAATTCCTGACTGTTGTTGACAGTTTATCTTCAGGCAAGTATTAGAACACGCTTTTGTAAGTTAAGGGTTAAACGGTTACATTTAAACTCTTAAGTATTTTACTCGACTATTAGACGATGATAATTGATACAGTCATGCAGCCTCTTCGTCACATATTTAATTTCGTCCTCGGAGTACATCTCTGCGTAAACATTTACACCATTATACACTAAAATGCTCTTCTTAGCTGGCAGTGGAAAGGAGCCCAGATCATGAAGGAGAATCTTAAAATGTCCCCAGATGTGGAAAACTATAATAAAAATGATCACCGCCACCATTTGAAACAGTGATCCTATGAAATACGATTCTGTCCTGGGAACAAAAAATAAGACATGACTTCCATCCAGTTTTTATTTGTGTCGCATTAATAATATTACTAAATTCTTAATAAATAATGGACGTAATCAAAACTCCTGGTTTTATTCTGAAACTTTCAGACGCCAAAAGTTCAGTGTTAATTTCGCATCTTTGAATGATTTTTTTTTTAAATGAAATCTTTTGATCATAATAATCATATTTATTTTGTCTAATAATAAAAAATCTTTCACTTAAGTAATAATGCCTTTCTGGGGATGCCAAATGGAGGAACTATATTAAAAGATCATAAAATTAAAATAAGATTATAAGGTCTGTACACTGTAACTAGTAAGACCAAATGAACAACTCAATAAATATTTCTCATTGAACAGACTTGGAACAAAGAGATTACTGTATAGATACGTAACCCGACATACTAAATCTACATCTATTGACGACTGGATGGCGTAGTGGTTTGTGTAACGGACTGCTATTCCAAAGGTCGCGGATTCGATTCCCGCTCAAGTCAAACATTTGTGTGCATGAACATTTGATGTTTGATTTGGTCTGGGTGTTTCTATGTATAATATGTATGTATTTACAAAAAAAAAAGTATATATGTATTTATATCAGTTGTCTAGTACCCATAGTACAAGCTCTGCTGAGTTTGGGACTAGATGGCGTTGTGTGTATGTGGTAGAATATATTATTATTATTATCTATTAAAGATGAAACTGACAGACAGATACACTGACTGATCGATCAACGCACCCCTGAAACCGCTGGGTCTAGTAGCATGAACTCTTGCACAAATGTTGCTTAGGTGACGTAGGTGTGCACTAAGAAAGGAGTTTTAAAAATTCCACTTCTAAGGATGCAAAATGGGGACTGAAAATTAATATGAAACTTCGTTATTTTTGGGTAGTAGCGTATCCTCTACGATGTCTGATGTCGAACACCATACAGATAAAGTCGCTGGTGAAAGCTTGTCTCCTAATATACTAATAACTATCAACTTAGTAGGAGGGGTTAAGGCCCATCTAGCACATCTAGTGAACTAAAGTCCACTTTATTAGTAGTTTAAAAAATAACTTACCAGTTTAGTAAATTACCAATAATATAGCCTCTTAAACTGCTTGAAATATCAATAGGGAAGTAAAAATAAGCAGCTTGTATATATGTTATATTGTGTGTGTTATATCTGTCATAGTTGCCTTCAGCATAGTTCGTGTATAGAGGCCCCAGGTTATATAATATAATATAACTGTACATTAAAAATTCTGAAATTCTCATAAAGAGAAATGACAAAAAGTGCACGCGTTTATGAGTCTGAAATTAAAACATTTTAATAATTTAATTTTGCCGCGTGGCGACGGATTAAGAAAACGGTGTGTTACCACCCCTATACATCCCGTTGGTGTCGTAAAAGCCGACTAAGGGATCTAACTACGCAGGACAACAGCACTGCAAAGAGAAGAAAAAACCCTATACCAACTCTGGTCAGCGTGGTATAGTAGGCCAAAATCCCTTTTCTCAAGAGACCTATGTCCAGCATTGATGATGTGATGTGACGTGATTAATTTAAAGTCAATTAGGTTTAAAAAATAAGCAATATCATGATTTACAAAAAGTATTCTACAAATCTTAATCTATACTAATTTTATCAAGAGGTAAAATTTGTGAGTGTGTCTGTTCGGTGTAATCTCACGTACTTCTGATCGGATTTTAAAAATTCTTTCACTGCTAGAAAGGTAAATTATCCCTAAATACTATAGAATGATTCATACAGTGATAACCAACATACACGCGCCCCGAGCTAATAATATATAAATCTATTTTACAAGCCTTTTTAAATGTTATTTTACTAGGAGTTGCCGGCCGCGTGTATGTCGATTATCGCGATAAAAAGTAGCCTTTATCTTTTTTCAGGAATATATCTCCATACCAAATTTTATCTGAATCGTTTCAGAGAGTATTGATTCCCCATATAAACTTTTTAGCCTTTTCACACCCTTAAAGGATGCTTTCTGGGATAAAAATTATCTTATATCCTTGCCCAGGACTCAAACTATCTCTATACCAAATTTCATTAAAATCGGTTCAGTTATTTAAGCGTGAAGAGATAACAGACACACTTTCACATTCATAATATTAGTATGGATGTCAAGTGTATTAGAAAAAAACTATAGTGGAGCGACAAAGGTTCTAAACTATGGAAGAAATAAATAAAATACTTTTTAGATTATTGTTGCCAGGAACCTGAGAGTAAAATTAATATTTCTGAGCTAGGGAGACTTTACGAGTGTGTAAGAAATCAAAACAGATGTATGTACTAACCTCCATTGCAAAATCAGACTTATCTTTAAAGTAAAACAGATGCATTTTGTTTAAGAATGATGATAGCATTTTTTTATATGCCGATGCCAAAGATATTGTAACGTAGGTAAACTAAAAAATATTAACAAATGATAATAGACATACTTATAATTAAGAATTCATTTTCCTAAGGCCTAAAAGATTTTTATAATAGAGACAATTTATATGAAATAAAAACGAATGAATAAATTGTAATATATATTGTATTCCTCCTTCCTCAATTGTATGTTATTATAATAATTGTAATTTCTATGGGATCAAAATCCTTACGAATAAAATGATCGGAAGAATTTTCCAAATTGGTTCATAAATGTCAGAGTTCTGAGTTAACAAACACAAAAAAAGTAAAACGAGGCTGTATAATACAGTCGAATTGAGAACCTCGTTCTTTTTAAACTTGGTTAATAGAGTCTATAAGATATGAAAATGAATCATAACAACATGGTAATAAAAACATTCTTACCGCGGCTACTGTGTAAGAAATCATCATTGTGCACATTTGTGTTAGTTCCAAAAAATTTAGTTCCCTTGCTCTTATGTAAACGCAGCTGGCGACCACCAATGATATATAGAATATCAGGTACGCAACTCCAAGTATGGCTCTTTTAGGAGACATTTTATCAATGGGTTCGTCGCAAGGCCAACAATTTACTATTATTAAGTAGAATCGCAACATTTTGTAGTAATTGTAGTCCAATGGTTGAGTGATACCTCTGAAAGATACACCAGTTTGTCACAAACAACTAAAGAAAGGTACAAGCTATACCCTGCCTGAAACTTTGAAGTTTGTAATTTAGAGTTTTCGATCGTCACCTCTATGATATGTGTTAGCTATTTTTAGTATGCTTCAGTTATATTTGAATCATACTTTTGAATAATATAACCATTTTTAAAATCGATTCAGAAGTTTTAAATTTTATAAGGTACAAACAAATCATTCCTATTTTTATTCTGATCAGTGTGGGTTAGATGTACATTTCTAGTTTCGTCCTAAGAAATTGTAAGTTAGTCTGATATTGTTTTTTTTATGTCAAGACAATTCCCGCTCGCACATACAAATATTTATCATACAAACATTCATGAAACGGACACAATGGACTCAGAACAACACTTTGTTGATCACAGAAAGTGTTATCCTATATAGGGATCGAACCCACAACATTCAGTGCCGTGGGAAGCGGCGAGGTGACCGCTTAAACCAATTTTATTTAGTATTTAGATTGTTGTTACTATCAAATTCAAGATTTAGATAAATGAAGGTTTCGCAATCAGTTAAAAGCCTTATCCATCTATGCTTATATTTGATTATTTTTTTCTAAAAACTTACTCTATGGCATCTTCAACTGTAAAATATTTTTTTATTCTCTGCATCTTCTAGTATATTATCAAAGAAGTATCAATTGCCTTATTTGCAAGCAGACTAAGACAAGAGTGAATAGAAATGCATTTTTTCTAGAACTACTTTAAAAAGCAATTAATTTCTTTTAACCTTTACAGCTCTGTATAATTATCTATAAGGGTTATGAAGTGTAATTAACGATTTAATTACACTTCATAAGTGTAATTAACGATTTCTTAAGAAATATTCTTTACTTTTACCCATAAATGTATTGTTCTTGCGTTTCAATAAAGATAGAAAAAATACATTTCTATGTCTTTTGTAAACTTTTGCGTCTTTAATGCAAATTGGGCTTTTATGACGGGAATTAACAGATATACCAAAATATTCAGTTGAATTGCGAACTACCTCCACCTTTTCCTCAGAAAGTGAACCGTCCAAAAATATTTTCGTTCTTTTTCGTTGTCTTAAAGTGAATACTTACAGCAAAAATATAGTTCAGTGCCATCTAATGACAATACACCGAACTACGAAGTAAACTTTTTTTCCTGCATCGCGTAACGAAAGTTCTAGCGCCGATTACTAAATACAAAACTTCCTGATATACGGGGATGCGTACAAGCTATAATTTTAGTTTCATTGGCGTGGCCTTATTAGCACTAGGAATTAGGTGGGATAATTGAAAGTATGTAAAAAAAAATTTAGAAAAAAAGGGCAGGCAATGGTAGGAGGGAATATTGCTTATATAAATGGTTTAGGGAATGTAAGCAATAGCTCAAACGGCCCAGGTTCGAATGCGTGTAACTCGTAACTCGTAACTCGAATTGGCTATTGCCGGGCACATCAGGCTCTCTAACTAATTAATACAACCAACAAAAAATTACAAAAGAAATGATATTGACTTCTTTGATAATAATACTTAGTATTTAAAAATCGTTTATTTGTTCAAAAATAACCAAATAACAGTTAGTTGAATTTTTATAACAGATCTAAAAATAAATTTATTAAAGGGTGAAGAGTAAGTCAGTGTGTAAATAATTTATTTACGCCGCACAAGTATGCAGGAACATGAAATAGGAGAGCGATGTTTTTATTATCTGAAAAAACAAACAAAAACATTGTTTTAAAGAGATACCTAATTTATTTAAAATAATAGACAATGCTATATATTAAGCTCTATACTGCACCCTGGCCATCGTTGTTACTCCAATTTGGGCGAGACCTAAAGCCTTCACGTAAATGGGTGTCTGAACATTAATTAAAAATACCGCTACGATTTTCCTATTCTTAATATCCATGTTCTCCCATGGTATCCCATATACAGCATCTTTCAACTCTTGGCTCTGAAATGGTCATTGTACTTAAAATAGTGATTTAAGCTTCAAACCTCAAACTCATCATTAAAAAACAGCCATGTTCAGTTATGATATAAGTACTAAGAACTATAGAACTGACTTTCAACGTACCTTTGTTCCTATTAGTTCAAAAATAACTGAAAGTTGAATCAACTGTTGAAACATCATGTAAACAAGAGGACCATACGCTATCATTGCTTCTACAGTCTGAAATAAATCAATAATGGAACTTTTGTAAATTATTTTACCTAGTTAAGTCAAGAGACAAAACGGTAAAAGCAAAAGAAAGATAGACTAACCATTTGAGAACATTCCACCATTGTTAAGCATAGGGTTACTTGATAGAAAATATAATAAAAAAATAACATTGGACCAAAGGCGCCTGATACGTGCTTTGTAAATCTATAAGACGAAATTATGTATTTATTAATTCAAGATAAACTTTGTAAAAATTTGTCCAATCACAATTCTACACTTACTGTATAATCTGACGATGATAATCAATACAGTGCTTCAACTTTTTTGATACGTCATTTAGTTCGACTTTAGAATATAAATTCATATTTTTAATTAAACTTTGTGCATTGGCGGGTGAATTAACTAGTAATAATTTACTTGGCAATCGAAAAGAATCGAGTTCATGAATCAGTATCTTAAAATGTCCCCAAATATTGAAAATTATTAATGAGATCGCTAAATCTATCATACAAAACCAAATGGTTAATAGATACGACTCAAACCTGAAAAACAAAACGACAATCTGTAATATCAATGGCAATGTTATTGATGCTTTTTTATTGTCCACAGAATATTACAAAAAGATGTAATAGATATCACTTTAAGTAGAACGAAATCCAATCGACACAGTTCTTGCAACGCAGTCCAGATCTATTTAGTTTCATAATAGCTGATAATGTTTTGTAAAGAGTAAAATATACATTAAATTAACCAGGAATTATTAAAGAAACATGCATTTCATCGGTTTTGTGTTGTACAAAGCCGTTGCTGTAGAATACTATTCTTATAATTAAACTTATTACTACGCTGTTTTTGTCCACATCTTCTCAGAACATGTAGCTAAAAAGATTATTAAAGACAAAATGTTTTTCTGCTGTTAAAAATCGGATCGTTTGGCAAAAAATGCTAATAAAAATATGAAATATGAACGTTTTTCTGGAGCTTCTCTGTCAGATAATTATATTAAATCGACTTACAAATTCAATACAAATGCAAAAACATATCCAGGTAATGTTGTAGTTGTGTCATACGGAAAAGAATAATTAAATATTTGTTCATAAGGTACGTCTTCTGATATTGGCTGATTATATTTTCCTGAAAAATAGTTATTCAGCATAGGTCCAGCGTGAAAAAATACCCATACACAGATAGCTTGAACTTGAATACATATAGTGAAGACATGAGAAATCAAATGTACACGTTTATACATCTGAAACAAAATATGAAAGAAATATATTTAAGCTTTTTCTTCTTGAATACTAAACACTAAAATTAACATACCCAACTAACCTTCATTGCGTAACTAGATGAGTCTTTGTAGTAAACTAAATGCATCTTTGTCAAAAACATTGAAAACACTTCCTTATATTTTGATATGGATAGCAAGGTTAATCTGAACTATAATAAAAATAGAAACATATAATAATAATTGTTATTACATGTTAAATTTATACGCTCAGTAAGACTTTAGGCTATCAGGATATGATTTTGGACTTCAGGATATAATTCATAAGCAGTGTAACGGAAAAAAGGGAAATTTTAAAATTATCCAAATAGCCTAGTATTCGCGCAAGGTGACTTACAATTATAACAAATTAGATGGATGTTTTAAATAGACGAGGACAGAGTTGGCCAAAACGAAGGCTAAATGTATGGGGATTGAGACATGCAGTCTATTTTAAATTGGTTCAACTAATAACTTTCATTTATAATTTATTCAGAAGTTACCCAAAAAGGAACTGTTAAACAAGACTTCGGAGCAACTTCTACCAAGGCAGAACATGTGTGTTTTTAGCCATCAATCTAGAGCGATACACATCTTTATCAAATTCTAGTTTCAATGTTCACTTGAGTTTTGGCTGTATTTAAATTTCTTAAACATATTATGTGGAACTGTATAAGTTACTCGCCTTCTGGCAAAAAAAAAATGCAGATCAATAATGCTTACCAAAACAAATATCCACATAATTTGAATCAGATACACATTTACCAATTCGAAGAAATCTAATGTATTTGACCTTAGGTACATGAATCCACCAATTATAAGCAGCGTATGTAAGACAACATGTCCTATT